TTCCATTTCTTCTAAAACTATTCAGAACAATTGAAAAAGATAGAATCCTCCCAAATTCTTTCTATGAAGCCAGCATCACCTTAATCCCTAAGCCAGAGAAAGATGCAGCATTGAAAGAAAATTACAGACCCATACCCCTGATGAACATAGATGCAAAAATCCTCAATAAAATTCTCGCCAATAGAATGCAACAACACATCAGAAAAATCAGCCACCCAGACCAAGTGGGATTTATCCCTGGTGTGCAGGGATGGTTCAGTGTTTGCAAATCAATCAATGTGATTCACCACATTAACAGACTGCAGAAGAAAAACCATATGATTATCTCAATAGATGCAGAGAAAGCATTCGATAAAATTCAACACCCTTTCATGATGAAAACTCTAAGCAAATTGGGTATAGAAGGAACATTCCTCAATATAATCAGAGCAATTTATGAAAAGCCCACGGCCAGCATGCTACTGAATGGGGAAAAGTTGGAAGCATTTCCACTGAGATCTGGTACCAGACAGGGATGCCCACTGTCACCACTGCTATTCAACATAGTTCTGGAAGCTTTAGCCAGAGCCATCAGGCAAGAAAAAGAAATTAAAGGGATATGAATTGGGAAGGAAGAAGTCAAACTATCCCTCTTTGCACACGATATGATTATTTAGCGCATCCAAAGAACTCTACTAAGAGACTACTGGAACTCATAGAAGAGCTTGGCAAAGTAGCAGGATACAAAATCAATGCACAAAAATCAACAGCCTTTATATACACAGGCAATACCATGGCTGAGAAAGAACTGCTAAGATCAATCCCATTCACAATAGCTACAAAAATAATCAAATACCTTGGAATAAACTTAACCAAGGATGTTAAAGATCTCTACGATGAGAATTACAAAACCTTAAAGAAAGAAATAGAAGAGGATACCAAGAAATGGAAAAATCCTCCATGCTCATGGATTGGAAGAATCAACATCATCAAAATGTCCATTCTCCCAAAAGCAATTTACAGATTCAATGCGATACCAATACACCAATACAAATATACCAAATCCCAAAGACATTCTTCTCAGATCTAGAAAAAATGATGCTGAAATTCATATGGAGACACAGAAGACCTTGAATAGCTAAAGCAACCTTGTACAACAAAAACAAAGCCAGAGGCATCACAATACCAGATTTCAGGACATACTACAGGGCAGTTGTAATCAAAACAGCATGGTACTGGTACAGAAACAGATGGATAGACCAATGGAACAGAATTGAAACACCAGAAATCAACCCAAACATCTACAGCCAACTTATATTTGATCAAGGATCTAAAACCAATTCCTGGAGCAAAGACAGTCTATTCAATAAATGGTGCTGGGAAAACTGGATTTCCACGTGCAGAAGCATGAAGCAAGACCCCTTACACCTTACACAAAAATCCACTCAACATGGATTAAAGACCTAAATATACGACCTGACACCATCAAATTATTAGGGAACATTGGAGAAACCCTGCAAGATATTGGCACTGGCAAAGACTTCCTAGAGAAGACCCTGGAGTTGCAGGCAGTCAAAGCCAAAATTAACTATTGGGATTGCACCAAATTGAGAAGTTTCTGTACTGCAAAAGAAACAGTCAGGAGAGTGAAGAGGCAACCAACAGAATGGGAAAAAAATATTTGCAAACTATGCTACAGAGAAAGGATTAATAACCAGAATCTACAAAGAGATCAAGAAACTCCACAACAACAAAACAAACAACCCAATTAAGAGATGGGCCAAGGACATCAATAGACATTTTTCAAAAGAGATTGAAATCCAAATGGCCAACAGGCACATGAAAAAATGTTCAAGATCACTAGCAATTAGGGAAATGCAAATCAAAACCACAATGAGGTTCCACCTCACCCCGGTGAGAATGGCTTACATTCAGAAATCTACCAACAACAGATGCTGAAGAGGATGTGGGGGAAAAGGGACACTAACCCACTGTTGGTGGGAATGCAAACTGGTAAACCACTATGGAAGTCTGTCTGGAGATTCCTCAGAAACCTGAATATAACCCTACCATTCAACCCAGCCATCCCACTCCTTGGAATTTACCCAAAGGAAATTAAATCGGGAAACAAAAAACAGTCTGCACCTTAATGTTTACTGCAGCTCAATTTACAATAGCTAAGACCGGGAATCAACCTAAATGTCCATCAACAGTAGACTGGTAAAGAAATTATGGGATATGTACCCTATAGAATACTATACAGCAGTCAAAAACAATGAAATCTGGTCATTTGCAACAAAATGGAGGAATCTGGAACACATTATGCTGAGTGAAATAAGCCAGTCCCAAAGGGACAAATACCATATCAGTGACAACTAACCGAGCACCAAAAAGGAAACCTGTTAAAGTGAAATGGACACTATGAGAAATGATGATTTGATCAGCCCTTGCCCTGACTGTTGATGAACAACTTAATGCATTATCCCTCTTAGTATTTTTGTTTGTTTGTTCTACTTAATACTATTGGTTGAATACTGTAATTCATACACAGTTATTCTTAAGTGTTGAAACTTAACTGAAAAGTGATCCCTGTTAAATATAAGAGTGGGAATAAGAGAGGGAGGAGATGTACAATTTGGGACATGCTCAAGCTGACTTGCCCCTAACGGTAGAGTTAGAAACATACCAGAGGATTCCAATTCAATCCCATCAAGGTGGCATGTACCAATGCCATCTCACTAGTCCAAGGGATCAATTTCTGTTCACAATTTATCATAATGACAGGACTAAGAGTCAAAGGGATCACATAAACAAGACTAGTGTCTGCAAATACTAATTGATAGAATAGCAAAGGGAGAGAAAGATCCAACAAGGGAAGCGGGATACACAGCAGACCCATAGAATGGCAGATGTCCTAAACAGCACTCTGACCTCAGATCTGACCTCAGAATCAGCCCTTAAGGCATGTGGATCCGGCTGAAAAGCCCATGAGAGTATTTCAGGCATGGAAAGCCAAGACACCCTGGCAAAAAAAAAAAAAAAAAAAAAAAAAAAAAAAAGAAAGAAAAGAAAGAAAGAAAAAGAAAATGACCTAAATGAAAGATCTCTGCGAGTGAGATTCCAATGGAAAGAACAGGTCATCAAAGAAGGAGGTACCTTTCTCTGAAGGGAGAGAACTTCCACTTTGACTACAACCTTGTCTAAATATGATCAGAGACGGTGAACTCAAAAGGCTTCCTTAGCTTTGGCAACTCATGACAAGAGCCTAGGTGAATACTGATGCCATAAACAAGTGTGTCAATTTCTTAAGTCAACAACAGGAGTCACTGTGTACTTACTCCTCATGTAGGATCTCTCTCCTTAATGTGCTGTACATTGTGATTTAATGTTATAACTAGTACTCAAACAGTATTTTTCACTTTGTGTTTCTATGTGGGTGCAAACTGTTGAAATCTTTACTTAATGTATACTAAACTGATCTTCTGTATATAAAGAGAATTGAAAATGGATCTTGATGTGAATGGAAGGGGAGAGGGAGCAGGAAAGGGGAGGGTTGCGGGTGGGAGGGAATTTATGGGGGGGAAGACATTGTAATCCATAAGCTGTACTTTGGAAATTTATATTCATTAAATAAAAGTTAAAAAAAAAAGAAAAAAGAGCATATATGAGTGTAACCTCATCCTAAGGGTTGTACAAAAACAATAAAATAAATCTAGTGCCTGCTGTATACAACAAAAATGATTTGCTGTGGCGTCACAGGCATAGACAAATGAGTGTAAACACTGAGAATTACATATTTGTACATCTGATCTTTTTTTAAGTGCAGATTTTTTTAATTATTTAAATGGCAGAGGAGCAGAGAAGTCATGTCGAAGAGAGAGAGAGGGAGAGGGAGAATGAATGAGAGAATGAGAATACTCCCATGTGCTGGTTTCTTCCCAAATACCTATAAAAGCTGGATCTGAGCCAGGCCAGAGCCAGGAGCCTCATACTCTAGTATTCCATCTGGGTCTCTCATGTGGATGACAGGGACTCAACCACTTGGGCCATTCCCTGCCTCTCCCAGGGTGCGCACGGCAGGAAGTCAGACTCAGGAGCAGAGCAGGGAGGTGAGCCCAAGCGTTTTGTTACAGGATATGGGTGTCGGAAGTTGCACCTTCACTGCCACACCTGACACCTGCCCCGTACACCTGATTGTTTTGTCCTGGCACTTGTTTGTTGTGGATTGTCATTTGGAGCCACTTGTTAATATGAAGCATATGTTAAAACATGTGGTTAAGGTAGCCAGAGAAAATACAGGAAGGTCAGTGGTATTTGAATGTCAGATAAATCATGAACAGTTATTTCGTATAAGTATATCCCATGAAATATTTGTGACGTATTTTTACGGAAAATTATTCATTATTTAGCTGAAACTCAAGTTTAACGTGAAGTCTTGTGATTTTACTTCTAACTCTGACCACCTTACATGCTGAGAAATAGTTACAGCTGTGACAGCCCAGGGGCGAAATCCCATCAGGCCCAGAGATGGTGGTAATACTTCCTGCTAATTAGAAAACTCGCTTGTGATGGTAGTTCAAAAGGGTTGTGGGAAAGGGGATTAAAATATGTTTTATTGTGTAAAAATTTTCTGAAACCCATGTATAGTTTTTTATAATGCACATTAACTTTATGAAGATGCTTTGTATATTTGTTTTCAAAATTTGTTGCACCAAAATAAACTTACCTTTTAAAAAATTTAAAAAATAAATAAATGAAATAAAATAAAATAAATCTTTAAGAAAGAAAAAGCGTTTTCCTTACATGGTACATAATAACAACTACACTTGCTACACACTTAAGTCCCAGGCTGCTATTCTAACTAAATGTATACAGATATATGTGTGTGTGGATGACTTTCCCAAGTCAAAAAAAGGTTGTAGCCAGGATCCATACCCAAACAACCCCATACAAAGCTTGTACTCTTAGTTACTCTTATACTGTTTTTCAAGAAAAATAAATGTGTTAAGAAGGATACTAACCAAAGACACAAAGTTGGAGACCTGAATTTTTTCCAGCCTTTCCTTGAGTTTATCCACCTCTGCTCGATATTCATCCAGCTGACATTCTAATTTTTCTCTACGTAGTCGTTCGTATTCCAGCTGGCCCTGCAGCTCTGAGATGGTCCTGCCAAAAAGAATTTTGTTTTCAATTAACCTCCAATGTCAGCTAACAATTCTGGTAATAGTAGAAAGCATCCACACAGTGTATTTAAGGCAAATAAGACTAAGAAACCATTTATTCAACAATTATATATTCAGATTCTACAAAGAACCAGCACTATCCAGGCCAAAATCTGCCTTAGCTTAGTAATGGGAGGAAGATAGACAGGAAAGAAAATAAATAAGAAAACAGATACATGTGTGAGAGGCACTAAGTCTTAAGGGAGGAAAAATAAAGAAAGAGTAATACAAAATGTTGTAGAGGAGTCCATTAACACTTCATATACAGTGGCTAGGGAAGGCTTTACTGAGAAAGTGGCTTTGAGCAAAGAAAAAATAGAGAACCATGTAGACATCAAGGGAATAGCATTGCAGAGTAAACAACAAATGGAAAGGCCCTAAGGCAGAATTATACCTGATGAAACACAAGAAAATCAAGGCCAATGTGGCTAGAATAGTTTAAAGAATAAAAGGAGGGGGGTCCAGTGCTGTGATGTAGTAGGTTAAGCTTCCACCTGCGGTCTGGCATTCTATATGGGCACCAGTTCGAGACCTGGATGCTCCACTTCCAATCCAGCTCTCTTCTATGGCCTGAGAGAGCAGTAATAGATGGCCCAAGTTCTTGGGCCCCTGCACCCATGTGGGAGACCTGGAAGAAGCTCCTGGCTCCTGACTTCGGATCAGCCCAGCTCCGGCTGTTGCAGCCAGTTGGAGAGTGAACCATCAGATGGAAGACCTCTCTCTCTCTCTCTGCCTCTCCTACTCTCTCTCTCTCTCTCTGCCTCTCCTTCTCTCTGTGTTTAACTATAACTTCCAAGTAAATAAATAAATAAATCTTTTAAAAAATAGAATATTTTAGCCTAAGGGTTTATTTTCTATTTAAATTCCTAAAGTACCCATCCATAGAAGGAGAACACATTAATTTTATGGACAATTTAGATGTTAACTCTGAATTCATTTACCAGGTATTTTTCTGAGGCTAGGTTGTCGCTCCCCGTCTTCGTGGGGGAACGACACTAAACGCTGCCTAGGCTTCATATCCGAGTCACGGCACCATTATGTCGCTCCCCCTCTTCATGGAGGAACGACACAGGACCCTGCGCTGTTCTTTCGTCTGCTCGGCCCTCCCCGGGTTTGCTGCTGGTTCTTCCCGGGTTGGCTACTGTCCCTTCCACCTCCGTGGAAGGGTGGTTCCCCCTGCCACATTCCCCACTTCCGCGGGGGAGTGGCACTCCGCCAGCCGGCTCTCTCGGGGGCTGCACAGGTGTTCCCCTTAGATGTTCCCCTTAGATGTTCCCCATAGATGTTCCTGGTGCATGCCGTCTCTCTCCTCCTTTATAGTCCTCCTCCGCCAATCCTAACTCGGCTGCCCACACGCCGAGTACGCTGCTCTCCTCCAATCAATAGCAAGTCCTACAGTTTATTAGTTGAACTGGAGGCAGCTGTGCGGAAGCTGTTTACTTCTCTCCCAGCGCCATATTGTGGGAGAGCAGATGCATAGAATAAGTCCTAATTCCAGTAACTCAGTCTAGTTCGGTTTGCTCCCCACATAGGTTAAAAGGAAAGAGGAGGAAAAGGAAATAGGACATTCTAAGAATATGAGGTAAAGACACACAACCAAAGGCAAAGGGCAGGAAAAGCACATAATAAGGGAGGGAATCCATATATGCTTCTCATTATAGACCCATACTTGGTCAAAGTAGAAGTCCTCTTCTGTCGCCCTTTGTTCTCTGTCCACTCCAGAAAACAAAGACAAGCAGAGAGGCAATGAGAGCAAAGAGGCACAAGGCATCCTCTATTCCAGCAGCCATTAATTAATTGGAAAGGCACTCAATGTCCAGAGAGCCAATTTGGGGTACAGGAAATGAAAAGTGAAGACAGCCATGCTACTATTCACTCACTGCCTCTAGACACAGAGTATACAGAGTACTATATTCAGTGAATACAGATCTGGGTCTCAGGTTCATAAGTGGGTGGCACAATCTGATGGGGATGTTTAAAGACTGTGTTACTTGTGATTGAAAAAGCTCAAAGTTGCAGTGGTCTCAAAAAAAACCTCAACTCCATATGAAATGTCAGTTTTGCAAAATGGAAAGTTCTGGAAATTGGCTACACAATGATGTGAATTTACTTAACACTACTGACTGAGACACTTAAAATGATTGAGATGGTGGCCGTCGCCGCAGCTCACTAGGCTAATCCTCCGCCTAGCGGCGCCGGCACACCGGGTTCTAGTCCCGGTTGGGGCGCCGGATTCTGTCCCGGTTGCCCCTCTTCCAGGCCAGCTCTCTACTGTGGCCAGGGAGTACAGTGCAGGATGGCCCAGGTGCTCGGGCCCTGCACCCCATGGGAGACCAGGAAAAGCACCTGGCTCCTGGCTCCTGCCATCGGATCAGCGCGGTGCGCCGGCCGCAGCGTGCTGGCCGCGGCAGCCATTGGAGGGTGAACCAACGGCAAAAGGAAGACCTTTCTCTCTGTCTCTCTCTCTCACTGTCCACTCTGCCTGTCAAAAAAAAAAAAAAAATGATTGAGATGGTAAATTTTGCTACAGGTATTTTACCACAATTTTTAAAAAAATCTTAACTCCTTCTCCATCTGGGAGCTTGGGAGGAAACAGAACAGAATCTAATACCTTTTGGCAGGGTTACAGAACAAGTTGCTGATTAACAAAGCCTCACATGGCACTGAGAGATGTAACTAAACACAAATCATTAAAATTTTAGGGACATTACTTTTCAGATTCAATATGTTCTTTCTTCTGCTTTAAATCTTCCTCTGTTATCCCTCCCAACTGTTTATAGTTGCTTGCAGCAATTTCCAGAAGGTGTCTCAATTCTACAATTTTCTTATAAGCTCTCACTGCAAGACAGAGTTGAATAGGAACCTAATTTAGGCAAATAAGTCCTTGCTCATTTTCAAAGACACAACAGAAATCTAAGCACAAGCAAGATTAAAAAAAAAAAAGACAAATTAGACTTCATCAAAATTAAAAACTTCTGAACTGTAAAGATACCATCAAGAAAGTTAAAATAGATTCCACAGAATGAGAGAAAATATATGCAAATCATGTATCTGAAAAAGGACCTGTATTCACAGGTACTTCTACAACTTAGTAATAAAAAGAAAAACCACTCAGTTGAAAAACGGGCAAACGATTTGAATAGACTTTTCTCCAAGGAAGACATACAAGTGGTCAATAAGCACATTAGTTACTAGGGAAACACCAATTAAAACTATAATGAGACACCACTTCACATGAGTAAGACAACAGTAAATAAGTTTAAGTAAAAATGTTAAAAAATTATAACATTTATACATTGTTGGTGAGAAGGTAAAATGGTTCAACCAGTCTGGAAAACAGTTGGCAGTTCCTTATAATCCTGATGACTGACAATTCCACTCCTGTGGGGAGCAATTCGGACTATACTGTTACTGGAATTAAGATTTATTCTATGCATCTGCTCTCCCACAATATGGCGCTGGGAGAGAAGTAAACAGCTTCTACCCAGCTGCCTCTCACCAACTTGACAAGCTGCAGGAGCTGCTCCTGATTGGAGGAGAGCGGCGTGCTCGGCGTGTGGGCAGCCGAGTTGGGATTGGTGGAGAGGACTATATAGGAGGAGAGAGACGGCATGGTGGGGTGGGTTGGTTGGAGAGTGCGTTGGAGAGTTCGCGGGGAAGTTCGTTACTTCGTTCTTTCTCATTTCTCTCTACTCATTCTTGCTTTGGGAGTTTGCTGTTTACTTATTCTTACTTTTACTATAGAAAGGACTTGTAAAGAAAGGGAACAACAAGCGCCCGGTCCGTGCGGCTCCTCCGCGTGCGGAGGAGCAGCAAG